ACACAGAACGAATTGTTGGAAATCCACTCAAGAACGGACGAGGTCAATGGGCGATTTGAGACGAGTGAGAATGCAGGGTTTGGTGCAGAGTTGGAGGGTGGATGGACCATTCAAGGTGATGCTGGAGACATCCCTGGATGCCAGGAAGCGGTCGAGGAGGAGGATGAGGAGGTTTTTGTGGAGGAGCATGAGGCAGATGAATTGGGAGGGTTGGGGATGGATGGACAAGGAGAGGACTTCACCCGGAGCAGATGTTTGGATGGAGGGTTTGAATCATTTGCCAGCACTTTATGCTGCGAGGGTGCTATGTGGAAGGGAGCTTCAGCCCACCGCACTTCGTTTAGGCCGCGGATAATATCGGCAGTTTGTGGCATTGGCTTGGAGCAGCTTCTGAAGGAGGTCGATGAAGCTCTGGTTGAAAGAGGGATATAGCAGTCATTTGCATTTCAGTACATAACATGTGCTTTTACATTTTGTTAAGTCCTTCCTTACCGAAACAGTTTTGCTTTAAGCATATCACCAAGAAAGATGCCTGAATTGTACTGGCTGAAGGAATATGCCAGACCATGCTTTTCACGTTTCAGCATTTCAGCCAGCTGGCTTCGTTGGATGCTGTCAGCAAGCACACTCGAGGCTGCCACACGCGTTCGTCGCGTTGCTTGAATTTGCAAGGACAGGACGCCACAACAAGTTCATCCGCTGTTTCGCAAACGGCTATACACTAGTGTAGCTGCCATTTACATCCTGGCCGACAAAGTTTTGTTGGAAAATGAGGCGACACCAGCTGAAGAATCCGCGTGAACAACAAACACATAAGGGGTATGCCTAGGGCAGAGAAAAAGTCCTGGGTGCAGCGACCCACTAAGGGCGTGTTCCGCGCTCGGGGCAAGCCTCGAGGCAGACTCGGAAGCCCCGACGCTGGAAGGCCGGAGGCTTTGGGTCCACGATCAAAAAGTGGTTTGCGGCAGAAAACCTTAACTGCCAACCACTGAGCTTAGGGAAGAAGTAGGCCGCAACCAATAACACTCATCGTAAACGAACCGAACACTGTAGCCCGAACTCATCGTTGCCATGAAGTTAGGTTTGGAAGCCCCAAACTGAAGCCCCGAGGCTCTGCCTAGAAGCTTTCCCCAAGCGCAGGACACGCCCTAGGATCCAGCGTGCCTCGGGCGTGTCCAGAGAGGGATCTCTGGGGATCCGGACAGATATTGACCGATGTCGAGGGAGGTGGGTGGGGCATCCAAAGCTGGCTCACCTGTCCAGAGTGGGTGACATTGCTACTTTTCAAACATCGACTTTTGAATGGGTGACCTCGGGCACATTGCTACAGTGGTCACAGAGTGCCCGGGCAGCCTCGTCGAGCCGGGGGTGTCCAGAGTACCGAAACCCAATATTCATCCTCCACTGTCGGCCACGACATCCGACGAATGTCTTCGGATGTCAGGGTTTCACTCTAAACACGCCTGTAGCCGCTCACGTAGTGCGTGTTCTGGCTAGTGGTTGAGCTGATTTGTGTCGATTTGCGAAGCAATGTACAGAAAGATCCAATGGCGATGACTGACATTCAATTCAAGTTTCCATCCTTCCCTTCCCACAGATATCGCATCACTGACATTCGCCTCTGCATTTGCCATGTAGGGATTCCCGTCCAGTCTCGACAAGAACAACATGAGTGCAAAAACTCAGGAATGACGCGGTCAGGGGGGCTGAACAAGGACGGGAAAAAATTAGGGTTAAAGCCCAGATCTTAAGTTACAAGCCGCGAAATGAGAGTGCGGCTTGGGGTGGGGCGAGAGGCTTGCGATTGGCTGCGAGGGTGACGAGAGCCCAAATTCTGAAATTTGGTTTGAGAAATTCGCAAATCCGAATTTGCACTTCGCAAACCAAAACTCAAACATGGCTGGGAACAGAAAAGAAGAAATGAGCAGAGCACTATAGACGGAACAGCAGTCCTGGGCTAACGTGGCACACCATCAACCAGCCGCGCTCCAGCAAACGCGCCGAACACAGCTAAGAACTTCCAAAAACGCCAGACATGACCGCAGCCCATAATTCGCGCGCAATATCGGGATTTCTGCTAGCGTAAATTTCCACTTTTGCCAGCAACTCAGAGTAGACTCGGCTACAGGTCACATGGATATCGCATTTCCATTTATTTTCGCGGATAACGCGCGCATGTCTAGCATCGGTGGATCGCAACGCGCCATTTGAGATAAGGCCATGCGTTCCTATAGGCGTAAGGAATAAAATTCGGCTGACTAAGGCTCTGAAATAGAACGAGGCAGCGCCTCCCGGTTAGGGCGTTATACCAGGAGGGCATAATAGCGCAAGGAGGGAGACGGTGACGAGAGGCAGCGCGTCTCGACTCCGCAATGCATTCGCGGCGCAGAGCGAGATGGGGGGATGCAGAGCGAGAGGGGGGTATGCAGAGCGAGAGGGGGGGATGCAGAGCAAGAGAGAGGGTGATGCAGAGCGAGAGGGGGAGGGGTACTAAGCGAGAGAGGGGGGGGTACCGAGTGAGAGAGAGGGGGATGCAGAGCGAGAGAGAGGGATGCCCAGCGAGAGGGAGAGGGATGCCCAGCGAGAGGGAGAGGGATGCCCAGCGAGAGAGAGAGGGATGCCCAGCGAGAGAGAGAGGGATGCCCTGCATTCCTCCCCCTGCTCTCCTTCCCCCCTTCATTCCTCCCCCCTGCATTCCTCCCCCCTGCATTCCTCCCCCCTGCATTCCTCCCCCCTGCATTCCTCCCCCTGCATTCCTCCCCCCTGCATTCCTCCCCCCTGCATTCTTCCCCCCTGCATTCTTCCCCCCTGCATTCTTCCCCCCTGTTCACTTTCTCCCTGTGTTCTTGTCCTCTCTCTCTCTCTCACTTTTCCTCTCACACTCTCTCCCTTCCGTGTTGTTGAGCTATTTTGCTGAACCTAGTACCGGTACATGTCCGCATGCCAGGTCTGACATGCCAGGGTTCCAGCTCCCTTGGCTGGACTGATGAGAACCACAGGATGCGGTGGTGGGAGGGCGGCCATGGTCCCTGCTCACTAAGCTGTTGCTGCCATAATAGCTGCAGCGAAGGAACGACAGCTTCCCTGCTCTCATGCCTCACTCACCCCCTCCCTGCTCTCATGCCTCACTCACCCCCTCCCTGCTCTCATGCCTCACTCATCCCCTCCCCTGCTCTCCCTCCTCTCCCCCTCCCCTGCTCTCCCTCCTCTCCCCCTCCCCTTCTCTCCCTCCTCTCCCCCTCCCCTGCTCTCACACCTCTCCCCCTCCCCTACTCTCCCTCCTCTCCTCCTCCCCTGCTCTCGCTCCTCTCCCCCGCGCCTCTCTCCCCCCCCGCCCCTCACCCCTCCCTCCTTCTTGACCTCTCATGCCTCACTCCCACCCCTGCTTTTGGCGCCTCTCCCTCTCCCTTCCCTAAACTCCGTCGCTGCTCCCCCGCCACTTTCCATCCCCTGCTCTCACGCCTCTCTCCCTCCCCTGCTCTCACGCCTCTCTCCCTCCCCTGCTCTCACGCCTCTCTCCCTCCCCTGCTCTCACGCCTCTCTCCCTCCCCTGCTCTCACGCCTCTCTCCCTCCCCTGCTCTCACGCCTCTTTCCCTCCCCTGCTCTCACGCCTCTCTCCCTCCTCCCCCCTCCCCTGCTCTCACGCCTCTCTCCCTCCTCCCCCCCTCCCCTGCTCTCACGCCTCTCTCCCTCCTCCCCCTCCCCTGCTCTCACGCCTCTCTCCCTCCTCCCCCCTCCCCTGCTCTCACGCCTCTCTCCCTCCTCCCCCCTCCCCTGCTCTCATGCCTCTCTCTCTCCCCTGCCCTCTCCCAGGCAGGCTGCAAGGGAAAGCGGGAAGCGGGAAGCGGGAAGCGGGAAGCGGGAAGCGGGAAGCGGGAAGCGGGAAGCGGGAAGCGGGATGCGGGAAGCGGGAAGCGGGATGCGGGAAGCGGGATGCGGGGTGCGGGGTGCGGGAAGGGGGATGCGAAAGCTTCGCGTTTGATTCCCTGCCTTTTTTTCTTGCGCTATTTCGTCCAGGCTTGGCTACGCGCGTGAGGATCTTCCACTGATAATTAGTAACTAGTCTAACGCCGGTGTCGCCTAGTTCCCAACTCTCAGATTCGCCGGTCAGATTCGCTTAGGTCATCGGTCGCTGCCAACTCTCTAGCCTGGCTACGCGTGCAGTTAGGGTTCATGTAACTAGGCAGCAAGGAGAGCGAGACAGGCTTTTCTTGGGTCTCATATCACCAATTTGCAATCTAATTCCCCTTGGTCGTTTTTGCAGCCAAGGGAGAGGGCTGTGGGGTGGGCTTGCGTTAGTCGTTTGGCTTCAACCAATCGCATGGCCCCTTTTGACACCTGGAGGGGGTCGTTCAATTGTCCCCAGGTGCATGGGGTTACCCCTTTTTTTTACGCTCCGACTTTGCTAGCAAAACCAATCGCGCCTTGTAGTTTGGGATCTGGGCTTTAAACCAAACCCCCACCCCCCTTCTCCCCCCCCCTCCCTCCTCCCCTCCCCTGAGAAAGAAAACACTCAAGCTGATTTGCTTGCCTCCCTGACCTAGCCAATTGCCTTCACTGTTTGAAAAGCCACCCCCAGGGTTTGGTATGAAAAGTCTCTAGACCGTACAGAACCGTAATCGAACGTGTTAAAGTGAACTCTAGTCACATGCCTTGAAACCAAACCAACCGTCCCACCCTCACGGTCCACTCAGGATGCAGAACAACCCTCTTGAACCCCACCGACTCATCACGGTCCGTCTCAAAAATTTCGCGCTCTGAACCGAATGCATTCTCGAAGCCAACCACCTCATGATGTATCATCATCCGCATCCTCCAAACTGCCTCCAGCTCACCATCACTGCCATCCTTCCCACCACATCACATCACCCGTCCCACACTCCCCTCTCTCCCTCCGATCATTGCAGATTAGATCGTCTCGTCGCATTGTCTCATCCCCAGATTATGAATGTCCCGTAACCCATCCCATCAGGCTTTGCCGCCTTTATTCCCCCTCACGCCATGGCTGCCAGCCGCCCACTTTCGTCGCACCTGGGCTGCAGCTGGGCTGCTGCGCACTGCGCACGCTGCCGCAAGGCCTCACTTCCAGTCAGCCAGTCAGCCCGTCAATCCAGCCTAGCTCCCCCCTCAGTCGCCTCGAATCCGCCATGCCATGCAAGCCCGGGAATTGCCCTCAGACAACCCAGCAGAGCATGTCTCAGCACAGCCACTCGGCTCACCCTAGAGCAGCTCAGTTGAGCCCAGCTCAGGGCACGGTGTAGTAGAGTGAGGACCGAAGTGAAGTGACGCTTTGGAAGGGTCTGGTTTAGGAAGTAACCGAGGGGAGCTGAGCTGAGCAGAGTTGAGCTGGTTTGCCTGTTGCGCTTAAGGCCCCCATCATGTGGACGCAGTGGAACTCAGCAAGCCATGGATGAACGGCCAAGACCCACCTGTTCTATCGATGCAGGGGAGCGCCTCGCCTCGCCTCGCCGCACCGGCATTCGCCCTGAGGGCTGGTCGCTTATCCAAGATCGCACGGATTCTGAGGGCTTGTTGTCACGCGTGCGTTGAGGTTACTCGAGTGGAGGAACCTGCGTTGTTCGGCCGTCCGTTAATCTCGCTTCTGAGGGCGAATGAGACTCGCATTAGAGAGACTCGCATTAGAGAGAGCGAGCGGATCTCGCAACAGGTCGGACCCACCTGCATGCCTTCGATGTTTGTCGAGCAAACGTTGAGTCAACGGCGCGCTACACTGGAGGCAAAGCCTTACCGTAGCTGTACGGCGCGACGGGTTGTTAGCAGTAGACGGTAACCATCCCGGTGCCGCAGCCGGAGCGCGCAGCTATGTACGATAGTACGACGCGACATTGGCGAGTCGCTGTGGACCACGGTACCGATTAGTATTAGTAGTAACTTATTGCTCTGGTAACCTAGTCTAGTCGATGGCGACCGAAACAATCCGCGCTGCCTTTCGACGCCCCGCCGCTGGAGCCATGGCGGAACGTCTGTTCGATCCGAATTCTTTCGAACTCACTGATGTGAGAGGGGACTCCGACTTAGGAACGATGGGTCCGTCGTTGCGCGGTCGGGGGAACGTTTTCGTCGGCCGTATTACCGCGGCGGACGAATCGGCTAATCCCCGCGCAGATCCGGCTGCGACGCGGCGACGCAGCCCATCGAAGCCGTATCACCGTCGCAGCCCATCGCAGTCGTTCGACCGTCGCAACGGCCCGTCGCAGTCGTTCGACTTCGATAACGACTGGTGTAGGAGTGCCGACACCGCCGCCGATCGTCGCGAAAGGCTCCGAGGCGGAGGGATGGTGAGGGGGGAACGGCAGGCGGAGGTCCCAAGGGTTGGCGCAGCGCAAGTTGGCGGGGAACGCACCGCGGAGTTGCGCGGAACAGTGCCGGCGCGCGGAGAAAGTAGTCAGCAGCGACGCGCGCAGGCCGCGGAGACGCCGCTCAGATCCCCCCCGCATCGCGTTGAGCCGTCCGGAACAGGCTCGGGAACAAGCGCGAGAACAGGCTCGTTACCGAACCAGGAGTGGGAGAAGGCCGTTGTGTCCCGAGCCTTGAGCGGCGGAGTTTCCGCGGACTGCGGCCCCGATTGGCGCGGCGCGGCGGATCGCGCAGCGGCATGGGCGCGCAAGGACGGCGGCTGCGGAGCAGCGTGGCGGAAGCCCGGCGGTTTCCTCCCCCCGCGCCTGCTCCTCTGCACGGGGCCTCCCGCCGCCATGTCCCCGTGCTCCACGCTCGAACACCAGCTCAGCCCCTACTGCTCTTCCGCTGCCACGTCAGCTGCCTCCAGCCCGTTCGCTGCCACGTCATCAGCGTCCAGCCCGTTCGCGGTGGCGAGTCCTCTTTCGTCCGCCATCAGCCCGCTAACCCCCTCCCCGCTGTCCGGAAGAAACGCCTCCCCGCTATCCGGGGGGACCCCCTCTCCGCTGTCCCGCGGGAGGAGCGCCTCCCCCCAATCGACGAGATGCGCCTCTCCACTTGCTGGCGGAAACTCCTCTCCGCTTGCTGGCGGAAACTCCTCCCCGCTATCCCGGGGAGTCCCCTCACCTCTGTCTGGCGGAAGCTCCTCCCCGCTTCTTCCGCGCAGCCCCCTCCCCCTCCGCAGCCCGTTGCCCGCGCGCACTCCCCCCTCGCCCCTTCGCCCGCGCAGTCCCCTTCCCGCGCGCAGTGCCCCCTCCGCCGGTCCCGCTCCGCCCTCCCCGCACGTCAGTCCCGCGCATGCGCGTCTCCGCTCCGCCTCCAAGAGCCCCATTGCGCGCCGAGCGCTTGCCCGCTCCGTCAGCCCGCTGTCTGGAGTTTCCCCGCACCCACCTGGCCCGCACCCACCTGGCCCGCACCCACCTGGCCCGCACCCACCTGCGCCGTTCCAAACTGCCTCGCCGCTTTCAATCGCCCCGCTTCCGATCGCGCCGGTTTCGCCTGCCCCCGTGCTATCACCAGCAGCGTATCGCGATGCGGCGCCTGTCGTCGTTCACTCGCCCGGTTCCACTAGCCATATGGATGGTACATGCGCTACCGGAATATGCAACACCAGCACATGCGGCGCGGACAACTGCTTCTTTCGGAGCAGCAGTAGCAGCAGTATCAGTGGCAGCAGTAGTGGCTGCTCCTCCTCCTCCTTTTTCCGCAGTAGCAGCAGCAGCAGCAGCTGCAGCAGCAGCAGCACCGCGCACAGCCGCAGCAGCAGCCCTCTAAGAGGAGGCGGAGGCGGAGGCGGGGTGGGAGGGGGAGGGGGAGCGCACGGGCCTGTGTTTGTCAGGAGGCCCAGTCTGTTGTCGCGCACGCAACTGACCCTCTCCCCTGCATCGCCGCATCCTGCGCCCTCTGCTCTCAAAACATGCCCCTCCCCCTTCTCCGCCAGCCCGCGCCCAGCCTCCCCCCAAGCGCGCCCTGTGTCTCCCCCATCGCACCCAGCCTTTTCCGCAGTGCCCCCTGCGTCGCCCCTCCTCTCCCCCAACTCATCCGCACTCCAACCACCCTCCCCCTCTCCCCTCCTCTCCCCTCCCCCTCGTCTCCGTTCCCCTCCCCGTCTCCTCCGCCCGGCTTCCCCCCTCCTCCGCCCCCCCTCCCCGCTCCTCCGTCCTTGTTCCCCTACCCTTCCCCCTGCAACGCCTTCCTTCTTCCGCCCCGCCCCTCCATTCCCAACATCCCCAGCCTCTCCCCCTCCCCCCAACACCACTCGCCCCCCCCTCAACACCACTCCCCCTCCCCCTGCTGACCTTCCTGCCACGCCTCCCTCTCCTACTCTCTCCTTCGCTCCTGCGCCATGTGGTTTGGCAAGCCAGCACGGAGGGACACGGGAACAAGGGGGAGGTCGCAGGGAGAGTTTTGAGCCGACTCAAAAATTTGCTCCGTCCAATTCGGCAAGCCAGCTCGGAGTGGCAGGGGAGCAAGAGGGGGGTCGCAGGGAGAGGCGGAAAGGGAGCGTGCAGTTGGCAGCAGGGGCATTGAGGGGAGGAGGAGGGGCAGTAGCAGGCGCAGCAGACGCAGCAGCAAGAGCAGCAGGAGCAGCAGGAGCAGCAGGAGCAGCAGGCGCAGCAGGCGCAGCAGGAGCAGCAGGCGCAGCAGGAGCAGCAGGCGCAGCAGGAGCAGCAGGCGCAGCAGGAGCAGCAGGCGCAGTGGGAAACGGAGGAAAGGCAGGAGGCGGAGTGAGAGGACGGAAAGCAGGTGGTGTGGAGAGCCGCCGGGCCATCGGGCTGTCTGCGCTGACGCGAGACAGGGGAGCGGTGGGGGGAGGAACAGCCAGGGAGAGAGGTGCGGGTAGCAGGCGGCCAGGGAGAGACGAGAATAGCGGAGAGCTGAAGGCGGGAGGAGGCGGCGGGGGAGGAGGGGGAGTGGAAGAGGGGCAGATGCAGCAGGAAAAGCAGGGAGAGCTTGGAGAGCTTGATGGCATACACAGCAGCCACTCCTGGCAAGAGCAGCAGCAGCAGCGGCAGCAGCAGCAGCATGTGGTGGCAGCTGCATTTGAGAACCAAGATCAAGTGGGCATTGCTCTAGTCGTCCAACGTAGAGACCTCTCAGCACAACTCGCGCCCCATTCACCTCAACTCCCTCGCTCCCCCCACACTCCCCACACTCCCCACACTCCCCACACTCCCCACTCTCCCCACACTCCCCACACTCCCCACTCTCCCCACTCACCGCACACTCCCCACTCCCCCTTACGTACCACCTCCCGTCCTCCTCTCGCAAACTCCCCTCTCTCCTCTCCTCTCTCCTCCCCACTCACTCCTCCGCATCTTCACTCGCTCTTCTCTCCCAACACCACCCCTCATCGCCCTCTCCTCCCCTCCCCCCTCTCCTCCTCCTCCTGCTCCACCCCCACTGCTCCCCTCCTCTCCCCCTTGGGATCTCCAGCTCCGTCCCTCGCCCGCCCAGCCTCCACCTCAGCTTCGGCTGCATGCTCGGGAGCAGGTTCGGCAGCAGGCTCGGCTCTGGCAAGGAGCTGGAGGGAGCGGGCAGGTTCGGCACGAGCCTCGGGCTCAGCCTCGGCATCGAGTCTGGTGTTTAAACGAAACAGCAGCAGCAGCAGCATGTGCCATGAGCGTGTGCAATCCTTTTCTGCTGTTTCTGGTTCTGCTGCTGCTGCTGCTGCTGCTTCGGTTGTCTGTGCTGCTGGTGCTGCTGTTTGCACTGCAGCTGGTGGTGCAACAGGGAGAGCAGGCGTGGAGGGAGCAGCAGTCAATGAAGCGAGGCCAGCAAGCATGCGCGGCAGCAGCAGCAGCAGAATCAGCAAGGGGGACAGCAACAAGCATAACACAATCTCCAGCAGCGCCATCACCAGCGGCGGCTGCTGCGCGCCTGAGTTCCCATCGCTCCCCCGCCTGCGCATGCGCACCCCCTCTCCCACAGCATGGACGCCGGATCCCTCTCCCTCCTCCCCATCATCGCCGCTGCTGCTGCTGCTGGTGTCGGTGGTGCGGCTGGTGCTGGTGCTGATGCTGGTGTTGCTGTTGCTGGTGGTGGTGATGGGAGTGGTGGTGCTGTTGCTGGTGATGGGAGTGGTGGGAGTGGTGGAGGGGGAGGGGAGGTACGGAGGGAGGAAAGCAGTGGTTGGGGTGAGCGAGGGCAAGGAGACAAGCCACAAGTGTACCACCAACAGCAGCTGCTGCAGCTCATTCAGCAGCAGCTGCTGCTGCAGCAGCAGCAACAGCAGGGGCAGAGGCAGCAACAGAGGCGTCAGAAGCAGCAAGGGCAGCAGCAGCTGCAGCAGGGGCAGCCTCGGGTGCGACGTGGCAGCGTGGCAGTGGATGGCATGGGCGACTCCTTCCAGGAATTCAGGAGCCTCCGGCCGGCAGAATTTGTTTTACGCCGCTCCTACTCCGACGTACACGCCACATATGCCATCGACTACCAAGCACCACCCCTGGGCCGAGGCCAATTCGGGGTGACTCGGCGATGTGTGGAGAAGAGAACGGGGGAGGTGCTTGCGTGCAAGACGATTGACAAGAAGAGCATTAAGACGCATGAGGACGCGGAGGATGTGAGGAAAGAAGTGGCTTGCTTGGAGCTGTTGGCTGGTCACCCCACTATTGTGAAGATTAAAGATGCGTTTGAGGATTCCACCCACGTGCATATAGTGACGGAGTTGCTCGCGGGCGGCGATCTCTTCGACAGAATCAGATCGCGCCGCCGCCTCCCGGAGCCGTCCGCCGCCCAGCTCTGCGCCGCCCTGATTGAAGCGCTTCTCCACTGCCACTGCAGAGGCATCACGCACCGCGACATCAAGCCCGAAAACATCCTCCTTACAAGCCTCTCCTCCGACTCCACTATAAAGCTCATCGACTTCGGCGTGTCGACTTCATACCAACGGGGTGTGCCTCTGACCGACGCGGTTGGGACACCAGAATACATGGCTCCTGAAGTGCTTAGGCAGAGCTACGGCCCCGAGGCGGACATATGGAGCGCGGGGGTGGTTATGTACGTGGCGCTTAGTGGCGCGCCGCCTTTCTGGGGGTCGGAAAAGCGGTCGGTGGTGGAGCGGATACTTAAGAAGGAGGTGGCGTTTAAAGGGGTTAAGTGGGAGGGAGTGTCGGAGGAAGCGAAGGACCTGGTGGCTCGAATGCTGGTGAAAGACGCCAGCAGGAGGATCCGGCCGCTTGAGATTCTAGGTGAGTTGTTGCAAACCCTTGGAATATTGAGCTTCATGTTGAGTGAGTGTGCTGCAAGGATCGCTGCAACTTGACTAAGCTGGCACTCAGCCTCTCTCTCTCTCCACTTCTCGCTGTGCCTTGTCCTACAACCGGTCCTCTCCTGCTTTTCCGTGTGCTGTGCGCGTGTTTCCGTCTCTTCTTACAGAGCACCCGTGGATTCAGAAGTGGAAGCTGGCTGCTCACACGTGAGGGATCGTTGCGTACTGGATAGTGAAGAGAGTGCGAATTCTGGTGGCTGAGGCTTTTGAGAAATTTCAAAAACCATCTGGCTGCTCCGCACACGTGACGAAACTCCTGGGTACTGGATGCTGATAGAGAGAGCCCGGACTGGACTCTGGCGGCTGCCACTCTTTTGAGGCGCCTCAAAAGTTGCTGATAGAGAGCCCGGACGCTGGTGGCTGCGGCTTCCTCGCTTGCCTCGCTACTGAAAACGACCACCTTGTAAATAAATAGCACTCCGGAATTGGGTCCGGAATAGTACGCTGGATGCTGAAGGCGAGGACGAGCTCCAGGGCAATGGGAACATCTTGATTCTTCCAGAGGCTTCCTTTCTTTCTTTCTAGGAGTTAGAGCAGTGGCAGCTGGGGGTGTGCAACACACAGCCCGTGTTGTATTATTATTTAGAATAAGGAAGGTGGGGTAAAAGATTACCCCCCTTTCCCTCTAGTTCATTCTTTGCTATTCTTCTCATTTTTTCATTCATACAAATCAAACACTCCTTGATTGATGTGTTGTATTTTCTTCCTCCGCCTCCAAGTTTAAATGAAGGTTAGCAGGTTGATTCTATTGAAGATGGAGATAACATGGCATAAGTAGTCGCTTATTTGGTGAGCCAACCAAGCTTGCCATCTGTCTATGGTTGTATGCATAAACTAGGTGAAGTCAGTTCGGCTCACTACCTGAGAATGAGTTAGCCCGTCTCACTGTAACGCGGATAACACTACCGCCACCATAGCACTCCATCCTCCCCACATCATGCGATGCCTCCTCCTGAACAAGACCAGCCAGCAGCACTAGTCATAATTTGATTGTACCGACGGAATTTCGTTGCACCAGCAAGTGCGAGAATATTTCGCGGTGATAGCAGCCTAGGTAGGCACGCCACGGCACGGCACGCCGGCGTTTTTCACTGCCGTTGTTTCGCCGAATGAACGACGAAGCTCTGACCGTTGCCTTTTGAGGCGCCTCAAAAGGCGCTGAGCGTTGCCTGCTGTTAGAAAGGAAGCCCGATGTTGGGCGCATCGCCTGGCATGCGGCGGCAGGATTTGGCAGAATACGCATAACTCCCCTTTTTCTACCTATTTCCAGGCCGATCCGACACTCCCCTCTTGCGAATGCAGCAGTTAGGGTTTCATTTTAGACCATTCCGTAACGCGGATGAAGCTGTTGGCGTTTGTAGAGTTTCTCCGTGCGTCGCTGTCCGCACGTGACGTGCTCGTCTCCCTGCTCGCCCTTTCCCTCGCCTGCCACGTGGCACGCGTTCCGCAATGCACGGAGCTCTCCCACTGGTGCGTCAGAAGCTCCTGGAAGGCGGCACGGACGGAGAGTCTCGACCCGGTCGTCGTCGAGGCGCGTCAGAAGGCGAATGGGTTGCGCGAAGCGCAGGAGCCGCAGCAGCTGAGGCGCCAGTTACAGGAGCAAGGAGGGGAGGAGGAGCAACTGTCCCGGAACAGAGCGGGGAGAAGAGAGCTTAGTACCACCGGACGTCACAGCTTCAATGCCGAGCCAGGACGTTCAGGTCGGGGCCGAACCTCGCCAACAGGCTCGGAGACAGGCTCGGGAGCTGGTTCCGAACCAAGGCAGTCTCCTCCTTACCCCTCCCTCGCCCTGTACACGGCTCCTATCGGGTATAACACCACTATGACGGCTTTAAAGCGCGCTGTGCTCTCTTGGCTACGCCTCGCCCCTCCTCCCTACACCCCTAACGTGTATTTAATAGGCTCGGATCCGCTTAACTACTCCCAGCCGCACCCGTCCCTAGTGTGGCTTGCGAAGCAGTTCCCAAGGCACGTGCACGCTATAGGCGGCTCAGGGGAGCGCAGAAGAAGGGGGCAATGGGCGGAAAGGGGGGTAGCGGAAGGGGAAGTGGTGGGAGGGGATATGGGCGAAGGGGATATGGGGGAAGGGCATTTGGGGCAAGGGGATTTGGGGCAAGGGGATTTGCTGGGAGGAGGGGTGGATGTGACTTATGACGGTGTGATTAAAATGAATTCGCTGTTTGCAAGGGCGATGGCTGAGAGAGAGGCGGATGTAGCGGGGGTGGTTGACCCGGATGTCGTGCTGCTGGGAGATGTGACTGCGGCTGTAGCGCGGCTGACGTGGCAGGAGGAGCAGGAGAGGAGGGAGATGAGAAAGTGGGAAAGGGGGTGGTGGAATGGAGAGAGCAGGAGGGAGGGGGGAGCAGAGGTAGAGGAGGAGCGAGAGGGGGAGCGAGAGGGGGAGCGAGAGGGGGAGCGAGAGGGGGAGCGAGAGGGGGAGAGAGTGGGAGGAGGGATGGGGCACAGGGGCAGGCGGCTGAGGAGAAGGGGCTCCACGGAGCATCAGGGCGAGCCCCCCCGATGGGCCCTCACCTCCTCTCTCTGGCGCGTTGGCTGGTTCCCCTTCGTTCTGGACAACCTGCCTTCGGAGATCCAGCCGGCCAATCACAAGCCGCCAGCTGGCGTGGACGAGGCGGGCGTGCGGAGATTTCTGGGGAGGCATGCTGAGCTGGACACTGGAGGGCCAGTCGGGTTCGTGATGTGGAGTCAGAGACAGTTCCGGGAAGCTTCCTCTGCTGCAGCTACAGCAGCAGCAGCAGCAGCAGTGGGTGAGGGAGAAGCAGCAAGCACTGTAGCAGCGACGCCCGCATTCAACCGGAACGGGTTGCGGGTTTCGTTGTTTTCGGAGCCCATGCCGCCCTTCCTGTATGGGCGGGGGCCTCAGGGGTGGCAGTGGGTGCTGCGACAGCTGGCACGGGATAGCCGAGGGGAGGAGATGGGGAGAAGGGGGAGAGATGGAGAAGACAGGGGGGAGGGGCGAGAGGGGAAGAAGGGAGAGGCGCAGGAGGGAGCGCGAAGAGTGGAGGGGAGGTGGGCGCATAGAAGGGCGTGGTACTGGATGGGGGAGGGGAGGGGGAAGGGTGAGGTGGGGAGAGGGAGGAGGCTTGGGGAACAGCAGGTGATGCGGCATATGGTGCAAGCACATGGAAGAGATGCGAGCACCGAGTATGGCTCTCAGCAGCATATGGTGCATGTGGTGGATGGCACCGGTGCTGCCACTGCCATCCGCATCGACCCACAGTATGATGCCGAGAAGGAGGCAGAGAGAGCGAGGGGCGGCGCTGAGGGGAGCGTGAGGTGGATGGCGCTGCCACGTGTGCAGGGTGCCACGTGGCACGGGCAGGTGAATGCCATGCTGCTGCAGGGGACTGTGGGAGGAGCGGGGGAGGGTGTTGGGGAGCGAGGGGGGGAGGGAGGGGAAGAGCGAGGTGGGAAGGATTTGCGGAAAGGAGGGGGTGAGGGGGGAATGGGAGAGGGGAGTGAAGGGGAGGGGGAGGAGCAGGAGGAGGGAGGCCAGGCATGGGAGTGGGAGCGGACAGGAGGGGAGCCCACAGTGGCGCATCTGCGATGGCGCATGGTCATGTGCCATGGGGCGGAAGGTGAGCTCATCTTTTTGCATGGCCTCTTTTCTTTCACGTGTACCATCCAGGCAAGAACCCCTGGCCTGCATGGTAGTGGGAGCGGATAGGAGGGGGACAGGGGAGTGAGCTACAGTGACGCATCCGAGATGGCGTACGGTCATGCGCCATGGGGCGGACGGTGCGCTCATCGTTTTGCCATGGTCGTGTGCCATGGGAGTGGCAGCGGATGGGAGTTGAGGTGAGCCAACAGAGGGGCATGTGAGGTGCCGTAGGTACGGTCATGTTTGAGAATTCTACCAGACTCCTGGAAATGACTCCACTGCGGACGGCCATGTGCCATGGGAGTGGCAGGGGATGGGAGTTGAGTTGAGCCAACAGCGGGGCATGTGAGGTGGCGGACGGTGAAGTTTGGGAATTCTCAGAAATGACTCCACTGCGGGCGGACGGACGGTCATGTGCCATGGAGCGCAAGGTGAGCCGCGCTGCACTCAAAACGGGAGACTTCCTTGCAGGTGATTTTCGAGTCGCCTAGAAAAAGATTTTCTTTTAACTCTTGTATTGCGTTCGCCCTGGTTGTGGTTGGCATTCGACCTCCAGTGAACACTTATGAGTCGACTCAAACGCAGACGCGTCCTCACTTTCTTGCACTGCAAGTGTGCCACTTTGGAGTCATTTTTTAGCGTTCAATCATCTTCACTTCTAAAGAATGACTCCGATCAAACTCCTGCGAACACGCACACATCTTCACTTACTTGCACTGCAAGTGTGCCACTTTCCATCAGCCTTCCCCTTGCTTTCACACACCCAGGCGAGTACCCGTGTTGGATGCGGCGCATCCGCCCTGGCATCTGCTCCTGTGAACACGCCTACACCGCCCGCCGCTCCTACCTCCCCTCTCTTTCCCCTAATTCACATGCGTACCACCATCAAGTTTCGAGGCGCCTCAAAACTAGATTCCCCTCATTCACATGCGTACCACCACCATCACTCCCGACGCCCATGCACTCCCAGGCGAGTACCCCTGTCTCATTACTCCCAGGCGAGCACCCCTGTCTCATTACTCCCAGGCGAGCACCCCTGTCTCATTACTCCCAGGCGAGCACCCCTGTCTCATTACTCCCAGGCGAGCACCCCTGTCTCATTACTCCCAGGCGAGTACCCCTGTCTCATTACTCCCAGGCGAGCACCCCTGTCTCATTACTCCCAGGCGAGCACCCCTGTCTCATGCGGCGCATCCGCCCCGGCATCTGCCCCTGTGAACACGCCTACACCGCCCGCCGCTCCTCCCTCCCCTCCTCCTTCTTCCGCGGAGGCCCCTACTTCGCCTGTTCCCCCGACCCTCCGCCTCCTCCTCCCCTCCCCGTCCTTGCTATAAGCCCAAGGAGGTGGGATGGTGGAGGGGAGGGAGTGCGGGAGGGAGTGGGGGAGGGAGGGGGCGAGGAGGGGGGAGGGAGAGAGGTGGTGGTGGTGCAGCCTCGGCGGTTGGAGGAGGTGTTGGTTGAGGTGGCGGATGAGAAGAAGGCGGTGGTGCTCGTGGCTGCCACTCACAACTACGCTTCCATGCTGCTCAGCTTCGCATGCATGTGGGTGCGTCATGGTGTGGTGTGGTTTGGTGTGGTGTGGTGTGGTGTGTCATGCTGCTGGCATGCTGCTCAGCTATTTCTGAGGCGCCTCAAGAACGCCTCAAGAACGCCTCAAGAACGCCTCAAGAACGCCTCAAGAACGCCTCAAGAACGCCTCAAGAATGGACTCGTCACATGTGCTGTGTGTGTCATGCTTCGCTGCTGCTCAGCTTCGCTTGCATGTGCTGAGCTGAGGTGTGTGGGATGCGTTCGTCTGTGTGCCATGCTTCAAAGGCATGTGCCATTTCCAAGGGTATCTCATGTGCACCCTAGACTCTCCTACTTCCTCTCGCTTCTCCCCTGCCACACACCAGACTCCGTGGCCTCTCACTGACCAACCTCGTAGTAGCAGCTCTCAACCCTGCTATGCACAACACTGCGCTCTTGCACGCCCTTCTAGCCTCTCAAGACGATCCTCCTCTCTTCCACCCTCCCCTCTCTTCCACCCTCCGCTCTCTCCCCTCTCAGGCTCCGTGGCCTCTCCCTTACCAACCTCCTGGTAGGGGCGGCTTTCAACCTCTCAGCTCTGCTATGCACCGCTCTGCGCTCTTGCACGCCCTCCCACCCTCTCAAGACGATCCTCCTCTCTCATACCACCCGCTGCCTCTTGTTTCTTCAACAGGCTCCGCCGCCTCTCGATCACCAACCTCTTGGTAGCAGCTCTCGACCCTGCTATGTACCGCACTGCACTCTTGCACGGTCTGCCAGTGTACTACGACAACAGCACTGCGGCCGCAGCTGGGGTAGACGTATTAGCAGCAGCGGGAGGAGCAGCAGAAGGAGCAGCAGGAGGAGCAGCAGGAGGAGCAGCGGATTGGTGCCCCTTCAACAGCCACTGCTTCCGGCACTACACCAAGCTGAAGAGTAGAGCCGTGCTGCGAGTGCTGCGGCTGGGCTATGCCGTGCTTTGGAGTGACGTGGACGTGGCGTGGTTTGAAAATCCACTGCCAATGCTGTGGCAGTATGGGGAAGGGGTGCTGGCTATACAGGTAAGACCAAGCTTTAAGGTTAAGTACCGAGTCAATGATAGTATCAAACGTTATGCAAAGTGCCGCTTGTATGATGTTTACAAATCCTAAGGCATTTAGGTGCCTGCTATTCAGGTGTGCGGGCGGTGCCTGATAAGTAGCTGCCCACAGAACGGGTGGCGGGGCGTGGGTGTGCCGGCTGGTGTGTGGGTGTGGCTGCTTCCACCTCGTTCTTCATTGATATCACCTCTCTCTTATCACTCTCCTTACTATGTGTGTTTTGAGTCGACTCAAAACACACCTGCTTTGCTTCCACCTCGTTCTTCAATAATCTCATCTCTTTGTTATCAATCTCCTTACTATCACTCCCCACCATCCCCCTCCCTCGCTCTAGAGCAACGAGCGTGGCCTCCAGCACCTCCTCAAAGCGCATGTCACAACTCCCCCCCCTCCATAGCAACACGCCCAACCTCTCCCTCCCAGCCAACAGCATCCGGCGGATCAGCAGTGGCTCCTACCTCGCTCGCCTCTTTTGTTAATCGCAATCGATTCCCCTCTCCCTCGGGCCATTTGTCCCACTCCCTCGGCCCCACCATAGCAACTATCCCGACTCCTCCCAGCCAGCCAACAGCATCCTTCGTATCAACAGCGGCTTCTACCTCGCTCGCCCCTAATATCACATTCCTTACAATCACCCCTGTTACTCCTTGCACCTTATGTCACACCTCCCCCCCTCCAGAGCAACGAGCCCGACCCCTCCCAGCCGGCCAACAGCATCCGGCGGATCAACAGCGGCTTCTACCTCGCTCGCCCCGACCCCCTCACTGTTGCTGCTTTCACCGCCGTTGTGAAGCATGCGGCTCACTCGAGGCTGTCGGAGCAGCCGTCCTTCTATGACGTGTTGTGTGGGGAGCACGGGGAGAGGCGGGTGAGTGCCATCGTGCGAGGCCCTTCTGGTTTGTGTGGCTCATCCCAACGCCCTCACCAGCTCTGCCTTGCTGCAATACTGAAACATGCCACCCACCCTTTTCACCGTTCTGCTCTGCCTTCACCGTATCACTGTTTCACCGCTCCGTCCCATCCCATCTCCCATCCTATCACAAAATCCATGCGTGAGGAGTCTATTTTGAGGCGCCAAAAAATAGTCTCTTCTGCTCTGCTTTCACCGTGCCACCATTTCACTACTCCATCCCATCACACACCCCATCACAACTTCCCCATGCGATTTTTCAGAATTCTCAAAAATTGCCTTTTTTTCAGAATTCTACAAAATCACATTTTTTTCAGAATTCTCAAGAATCACCCTTTTCAGATTTCTAAAAAATCGCCTACTCCCTTCACTGCATCAGGGTTTCACCACTTCGTCCCATCTCCCATCCGATCCCAACTGCCCTCATCATGCCAGGTGGGCTCTGACGCGTGTCAGTGGACCAATGGCCTGCGAGTAGTCTTCCTGCCACGTCAGCAGTTTCCAAATGGGGCAGTTTACCAGCTGTGGGGGACCGGGGGAGGGGATACCGGTGGTGTGCTCCCAGCAGAGCGTGGGGAGGCCGGTGGTGTGCAGGGGGGAATGGTCCCTGCTGGGAGCGCAAGCGCGAGGGAGGAGTGTGAGAGAAGAGGGTGTGTGGTTCTGCACAGTAACTGGATTGCAGGTGGGTTGTCATGTCAGATGCTCTCTATTCCAAGCACCTGTAACGTTCTTTATACGGCTCTTTTCGTGACAAAGAAAGGCCACGTCATTTGGTCTACACGACAAGGGCATGTCTTTCTAGCCACACGTCCCCTCTGTACATGTCCCTCCCTCGTTCCCCCCTTTCAGGCTACGAGGCGAAGGTATCTCGCATGAAGAGCGAGGGACTGTGGTACCACGATACACCAAACCACATGTGCTTCGATCCCTCGTGGTGGAACCAATGAATCATGTCATACCGTATCCTACGTGATTCCCTAGTGCTGCTTGCCTTTGGATTTATATCGTGACGCAAGCCACAAAATCTCGAGCCCTGCCTGTTCATTCGTTCATTTGCTTAGTTCCATACATGGATTGATGCCATAATGATTTATGTTTTGCCATGAAAGCATTTCTTGTTAAAACCTGAGCATTCTTATCCAATGAGGTTTTTCTCTATGACCCACTGTAACCTCTCTTCGCGAAGGAATTCGTCAATGCGTACACTCCAGAATCGTAAGGGCGTGTCTCCCGAGTAACTTTGATTACGTTTGGTAGATGGCGGGTCCAGATAGTACGTCTTCGCTGAATGTCCTACTCGACCTTTCCAGGTTGCTAGTCGAACGCTTTGAAACGCAAAGCAGGGTGCACCGCAATCCGACGTACTTTCTGGACCCGCCCTGAGATGCTCATCTCCAAGGATTGAACGGCAATATGAACCAGTTGTGTGCGAAAACGTATGCTTGGGACACGCCCTAAGCGTCCTCCCACTTCCCGCCACTTTTTCCCTTCACTCAGGGCGGGTCCGAATAGTTCAATTAGGGGGTCTGGACACGTTTTACGAACTCGGGTAACGAAAAATGAAAACGATCCCAAAATCGTTTTCTCCCAAAACCGCGTCCCACATTTCGAACAAAAAATAGAGCCTGGCCCCAATGGGGTGTGTCGCAAAAAAACGGTTCGCCTCGGACGTCCTAAATCTCAGTTACCAAACACTGAAGCTGCGAAACAGATATTTCGTGCTGGGCTGGTTGGAATTTGCGATATGGCGTTGCGCCACGCGAAGTTTTCGCCAATGCGCCTTGTTCTCATCAAGCCCGCCTTGGCGAAACCCTAAATTGCCACTCGTGTCCACCCGCCCCCCATACGCACACCTGCCGTCACCCGAATCGGTTAACAGATCTAGACTGGGGTACATGTACCTTCACATCCATCGACCGTCCCCAGTTACGGCAAATTCGCGTACCTGTCCTCGCGAAATCAGCGCGAGTTTAAATCGGGTTACTTTTCACCTAATGAATAGAGTGTGAACTATTTGGACCCGCCCTCATCTACATGAGGGCTTGTCATCTCCCCCCAAGGCACAGCCATGACTGCTTTGACTGTTGGCGTGACAAGATCTTCCAGAAGCGCCGGCTAGCCGGATCGCCATTGTTCGTAATCCGGCTCTCTCTGTGCAGAGATTCCCGCGGGACCGCCGGATGATCCTCTGAAGCTGTGTAGCGTTTTATCGCGACTAATTGCGCGAGCGACGAGCGGCGAGCGACGAGCGACGAGCGAGAAGCAACGATCGACTAGCGACGAGCGAGAAGCGACGATCGATGAGCGACGAGCGGCGAGAGGTGATGTCGTTAGGGTTCGCGCACGACAGCGCGGCGGAGGTGCGGCTGGATGCCGCCTTGCAGCGACTCCGTGCGCTCGACTCGAGCGTCCGACCCTCCTCCATCGTCGCCGTCGGAGACACGTTGCCCATTGGTGCCGATGCCTCCTTTCTCAGGTAACAGTGACCTTCTTCAGGTAACACCTTCTTCAGGTAACACCTTCCGCAGCTGTGGTGCGGCGGAGGTGCGGCTGGACGCCGCCTTACAGCGACTGCGCGCTCTCGACTCGAGCGTGCGACCCTCCTCCATCGTCGCTGTGGGGGATACGCTGCCCATTGGTGCCGATTCCTCTTTCCTCAGGTAACACCTCCCTGCTATCTCCAGCGTCCGACACTCCTCCATCGTCGCCGTCGGCGATACTCCGCATTGGCGCTGATGCCTCTTTCCTCAGGTAACCTTTCTGAGGTAACACCTTCGTACATTACCAGTCAGTAGGTAGCACCTTCCTGTATAGCTTGACTCGCGAGACCCGGCGGCACGACACGACGGCGCGGCGGAGGTGCGGCTGGATGCCGCCTTGCAGCAGTGACTGCGATGCTCCACTCCAGCGCGCGACCTTCCTCTATCGTCGCTGTGGGGGATACCCTTTCCCATTGCTGCCGAATCCTGACGCGTCGTTTCTCAGGTAACAACTCCCTCAGGTAACACCTCCCTGCCTGTCTCGACTCCAGCGTCTCCCCTGTCCTCCATCGTCGCCGCTGGGGACTTGCTCTCTCTTGGCCTTGGTGCTTCCTTTCTCAGGTAACACCTCCCTGAGGTATCACCTCCCTCGGTAGCACGGCTTTGTCTATTCTTCGCTCAGGTAATACCTCCCCCGGTAGCTACAATTCCTCAGGTATTACCTACCCCAGTAGCCCCCGTGTTTACAGCCAGGTAACCACCTCAGGTACCAACTGCTTTCGCAGTAAGGCAGCCGTTTTCTTGCTGGCAATCGTGCTGCTTGCTGCTTGCTGCTGTTGCCGCTGCTGCTCTGCTCTGCCCCGCTCTGCGCTATGCTGCTGTGTGCTACTTGGCGTCCCAGGGGCCACGGCACGAGGTACGGGGAGGAGGGGCAGGTGTTCAGGTCGCGCTTGTTCTTTTTCCCCCACATGCAACTGCGGCGCCCTCTCTGCTGCCCTGCTCTGCTCTGCTCTGCTGCTGCTGTGCGCTTCGCCTCGCAGGGGCCATGGCACGAGGGACGGGGAGGAGGGGCAGGTGTGCGCGACGGTGTGCGGCGTGGTGAAGCGCATCAACCGCCTGCTCTCCGTTCAACCGCTAAAGACATGGTGGGCTGTTGCATGTTGTCAGTGCATGGTCTATGGTGCATGGTCTATGGTGCATGGTCTATGGTGCATGGTCTATGGTGCATGGTCTATGGTGCATGGTCTATGGTGCATGGTCTATGGTGCATGGTCTATGGTGCATGGTCTATGGTGCATGGTCTATGGTGCATGGTCTATGGTGCATGGTCTATGGTGCATGGTCTATGGTGCATGGTCTATGGTGCATGGTCTATGGTGCATGGTCTATGGTGCATGGTCTATGGTGCATGGTCTATGGTGCATGGTCTATGGTGCATGGTCTATGGTGCATGGTCTATGGTGCATGGTCTATGGTGCATGGTCTATGGTGCATGGTCTATGGTGCATGGTCTATGGTGCATGGTCTATGGTGCATGGTCTATGGTGCATGGTCTATGGTGCATGGTCTATGGTGCATGGTCTATGGTGCATGGTCTATGGTGCATGGTCTATGGTGCATGGTCTATGGTGCATGGTCTATGGTGCATGGTCTATGGTGCATGGTCTATGGTGCATGGTCTATGGTGCATGGTCTATGGTGCATGGTTACGGTGCATGGTCTATGGTGCATGGTTACGGTGCATGGTCTATGGTGCATGGTTACGGTGCATGGTCTATGGTGCATGGTCTATGGTGCATGGTCTATGGTGCATGGTCTATGGTGCATGGTCTATGGTGCATGGTTACGCTGCATGGTTACGGTGCATGGTCTATGGTGCATGGTCTATGGTGCATGGCATATGGTGCATGGTCTATGGTGCATGGTTACGGTGCATGGTCTACGGTGCATAGTCAATCTGCCATCTGCCATCTGCAATCTGCCATCTGCAATCTGCAATCTGCCATCTGCAATCTGCCATCTGCCATCTGCCATCTGCAATCTGCCACCTGCCATCTGCCGTCTGCCATCTACCATCTGCCATCTCAGGGGAAGCTTTCAGCGAAACGGGAGGTGTGCCCTACACAGTAAACGACTAGCGTGTTATGAGCTGCGTCCTCTTCCTCTCGCTTTCCCCGTCTTCCATCACTTACCCTCTCTGTCACTCCCCCCCTCCTGCCCCCCTCTCTCACGCCCTCCCCCCACCCCAGGTACGTGGCGCAGACAGGAGATGTGGTCGTGGGGCGGGTGACAGAGCTGGCTCCCAAGCGGTGGAAGCTGGATGTGGGGTCGGCGCACGAGGCGCAGCTCATGCTGTCTGCCATCAACCTGCCAGGGGGGGCGCAGGTGAGCCATCAACCTGCCAGGGGGGGCGCAGGTGAGCCATCAACCTGCCAGGGGGGGCGCAGGTGAGCCATCAACCTGCCAGGGGGGGCGCAGGTGAGCCATCAACCTGCCAGGGGGGGCGCAGGTGAGCCATCAACCTGCCAGGGGGGGCGCAGGTGAGCCATCAACCTGCCAGGGGGGGCGCAGGTGAGCCATCAACCTGCCGGGGGGAGCGCAGGTGAGCCATCAACCTGCCGGGCGGGGCGCAGGTGAGCCATCAACCTGCCAGGGAGGGCGCAGGTGAGCCATCAACCTGCCGGGGGGAGCGCAGGTGAGCCATCAACCTGCCGGGGGGGGCGCAGGTGAGCCATCAACCTGCCAGGGGGGGCGCAGGTGAGCAACCCAGCTCACTGGTTCGATCTCTCTGAGTCTAGTCAACGACTCACTCTCAAGCACTTGAGACATAGAAAGCGGTGGAAGCGGTGGAAGCTGGGCGTGGGGTCGCCGCACAAATGAGGCGCAGCTCATGCCGGCAGCTATTAACCTGCCGGAAGGGGCTCATGGGGAGAAGCAGTCAACAAAAGGCAGAGGGCATGCAGGAAGCCATGAGGAACAGCCATAACAGAGGGGTAGTGAGTGTATCTCATTTCTGGCCTGTAAAGAGCTCCACTAAACAGAGGGCCAGTAAAGAGCACCACCGTCTTTTGTTTGGGCATCATCGTTTAATCCCTTTCCCCACCCCTCCTTTTGGCCCTCATCGTGTTAGTTTCGTTTTGTTTTGTTTTGTTTTGTTTTGTTTTGTTTTGTTTTGTTTTGTTTTGTTTTTTTTCCTTTTCCTTTCAGAGGCGGCGCACAGCAGTGGATGAGTTGAACATGAGGAACATCTATGTTGAGGGGGATCTGGTCACGGTGAGTTCTAAGTCGAATCCAGGCTCCGTTGCATGGGAGTGACATGTATGGTTAGTTGCTTGACTCGCGGGGAGCAAACTCACTTGGTCTGGCTCTTTGCATCTTTTCCTCTCCTGCTCATCCCCCCTCAGGCGGAGGTCCATTTTTGAGGCGCCTAAAAAATAGACTTCTTTGCTTCCTACCCTCTCCTGCTCACTCCCCCTCAGGCGGAGGTCCAGAGTGTCTTCCACGATGGGTCAGTGGTGCTGCACACTCGCAGCGATAAGTACGGCAAGGTATGGCTGGTGTACCCTATGTTGCACGACTCAAAATAACAAGAGGCTTGAAACTCCATGGGCACCTCCACGTGCTCTTAGCATGCTGCCTTCCGTGCTCCCTCCAAAATCACTTATCATTTCTCTCACTCCTCCTCCCGACTTCTGCTGTACAATATTGCTCTCAATCCCATGCGCCTTTGTTCTCATCCCCCATACATTCTTGCACCTCCCAGTTGTCAGGAGGTCTTCTCGTCCGCGTCCCGCCGTACCTCGTTCGCCGCCTCAAGCAGCACTTCCACATGCTCTCGCCCTCCGGCCCGCTCATTGTCTTCGGCTGCAACGGCTGGCTCTGGGTGGGCCAACCGCCTCCCTCCGCCCCCTCAACTCCCTCTTCTGGGACCACCACCACCACCACCACCACCACCACGAAGCCTGCGACCTCAGGGTCGACCCCTGGTTCGACCCCTGGGCAAGAAGGGAGTGGAAAAGGCGTGTCGGAGACTATTGTGGGTGTGGAGGAACGGGAAAGGATATGCCGAGTGGCGGCGGCGATAAAGGCGCTGGAGAGAGGAGGCCTGGCAGTGGACCCTCCAGCTCTGGCGAGAGTGGTGGAGTGGAGTGTTGGTATGGGTGTGTCTGTGGCGGAGATGGGCGATGAGGATTTTATTGCGACTGTGGTTGAAAAGGAGGTGGAAAAGAGAGAATCGGATGCAGCTGAAGGGAGCTGAAATTGTTTGTGTGGTCTATTCATTGTACTTAATGGTTTATAATTGAAACGCTACTTAGGTATACATACGTTATCATTTTCTGGTTTCCCTTGTTCGGGATCCATAACGAGTCCTTTCGAATCCTTCAGTGCGATGCAAATTTTGTCCGGTTACTGTAGCAGCAGCCGTACGGTCGCACTTTGCACTAAGTGTGTCGCGAGTTGTCTCGCACTTAGCAACGTTCCGCACGCAAAATCCACTATCATATCCGGTTAAAAGTGATGCTTTGATGGCTGGGGTGGGGTCTCTGTGCGGGCAGCGGGATGGAGCAAGAGCAGCGGCCCCTAAAGGACACAACCACCACACAAAAGACACTGGTGACTGGGCAATGGCACCTACTAGCCAGCACATCAACCAGGCTGTTCGTGACGTCATCGTACAGTTAACCCTAACTCGGAACCTAACCAGTGTCGTTATTATGCTTGACGGGAACCTTTCCGCCTTTGCGCGTTACCTTCCTTCGGTCTGACTTAGTAATTCCCACCTTCAGAAAGAGTTTAATTCGATCCATTATTCACGCACATGTCTCGGTCCGTTATTAACGCGAGTATCCCGCATTTTAAGGCGTGTAACACGGCCTAGGTGACCGCATGGCAGTAGCGTTTCACGCCGCACGCTCGATTCCTCAAGCGCATCAGCCCGTAGCTCTAGCCGCCGCAGAACCCGCCGCAATGAACGGCGTCCGGTCCGAAAAGCCTTACGATGAGTACTCTTTGCGAGATGACTATAACGAGTACGGCGCGCATGACGATATAGAGGACATTTCTCAGGAGCATCAACTTTCTGGTTACCACAACGGTTTCGCGTACGATAGTAGAGGTTATGATAACACGGGTTATGATAACACGGGTAATGGGCCTGTTGAGGAATTGTACGGTGATCCTGACGCCACGTGGCACGACCAATCGCAGCAGCAAATGCAGCAGCAGCAACGACAAGAGCAGCATCAGCAACAGCAGCAGCGGGGAAAGAAGATTCAGAAAAAGACGTCAACGCAGCAAGCAATTGCCAGGAGCAGAAGCACGGAGGAGAGTAAAGGAGCTCCCAGGGAAAGGTACAGGGAGAAAGGACGCGGAAGGCACAGGGATAGCTATAATGACGTGGAGTATTTAAGGGACGAAGGGGAGGATGGAGAAGCGGAAGAGCCGGAGGACGACGTCGGCGAACCTGGAGGAGATCTTTCTATTAACGGGGATAGGCGACGCATTGTTAGCGCTGAAGCTTGTATCGCGGATAATGGGGATGCGGTGGTTGGAGAGGTGCTGGATCCGATAGTAGACGTTCCGAAGCCTAATAACGAGTGGGACGACATTCCGTTGGGTTATTCCATTTCTACACCAGTAGGCAACTATCCTAACCAGCATCCTGATGCGCTAAGACAGAGCATCTTCAAACGGGGACGTGGTGTACAGGTCCTAGACGAGAAGAAGTTAGAGGAGCATAAGCAGCGGCAGGAGGAGCAGCAGCAGCAGCAGCAGCAGGAGGGAGATCTAGCAGCGGAGGAGCACATAGACCCGTGGTTAAGGGCCCCAGTAAGGAAAGTTACTGCGTGGCTTGAAAAAACTGCTGTAGTTGATCCAACGGCCCCTGCCCCAGCTCCTGCTCCTGCCGTTGATGCTCCTGCTGTTGCCGCCCCTGCTGCTGCTGCTGCTGCTGGGGAGGAGGGGGAGTGGGAGGCAGTAGGGGAGGATGAGGGAGCGGAAGGGGTGGAGAGAGAGAAGAGCCGAGGGTGTGAGGAAGAGGAGGAGGGGAAAGAGGAGGAGGAAGAGGAAGAGGAGGAGGAAGAGGAGGAAGAGGAGGAGGAAGAGGAGGAGGAAGAGGAGGAGGAAGAGGAGGAGGAGGAGGAGGTAGAGGAAGAGGAGAGAAGGAATGAAGAGTTTAGAAATGGCTCGGTTGAAAATGGTGATCAGGGTGAGGGTGGACTCTATGATGATGATGATGCTGGCTATAACGAGTACAACGAGGATGCTTATGAAGGGTACGACAGGGCGAGGGGTTTGGAGGGGTATGGGATTGAGAGACAGCGGCAGGGGTTGGTTGGAAGCGGTGGGGACAGAGGGTTTGGGGAAGGTGGAGAGGAGGGAGAAGAAGAGGAAGAGGAGGAAAGGGAGGAGGGGGAGGAGGGCGGCTGGGAGGGCGAGCAGGATGAGGGGTTTAACCAACTAGGGCAGGCTGAGGAAGGGTTTAAAACAGAAGCTTATGCGCAGGATTCTGCATACGCAAACGTGCACACACATGCATACGCACAGGGTCAGTCACAGCCACATGTGCATGATAGCATGCGGGCGGCGGGAGGGGGTGGGGAGGACGAGAAGGCACGGTGGGCTGAGAAGTGTGCTTCGAGGCTGAAGGAGTGGGAGAGAGAGGAGGATGAGGACGACGATGGGGTGGAGGAGGGGAGAGAAGCGGAGGAGGAGGAGGGAGGAGAGAAGGGAGAGGAGGATGAGGAAGAAGAGGAGGAAGAGGGGGAAGAGGGGGAGCGTGAAGAAGAAGGGGCAGGGGATGGCGACATGTATGGGCAAGACTACCGGCACAGCGGACATGGGGAGGGGGAGTATGGCGAAAGGGATTATGGCGAAAGGGATTATGGTGAGGAGGAGTATGGGGAGGGAGGGTACGGAGGGGGGGAGTATCGGGAGGACGAGTATCAGGAAGACGAGTATGGGGGGAAGGGGTATGAGGAGAGAGGCGATTTGGAAGAGTATGAAGTCGAGGAGGGGGAGGAGGGAGCAGAGGGAGAGGAGGCAGGCTATGGCGTGGTGGGAGCATGGCAGGAAGGGGAGGTGGCCGACATGTACGGGTCAATGGATGTGACGCAGCGTGCACCTGGTTTGAGGCAGCCGTTGGGCGTGCACGAGCCACCCAAGGCAGCTAAGCAGCAGGCGTTGCAGGACGAGGAGCAGGAAGCAGAGCTGAATCGCTCCCAAGGGGCGGCTGTGGTAACCGCACGGGCAATCGCTCTTGTTCCGTCCACCCCTCTCGCTCGCCCTGCTGCCACAGCCAAAGCGACTGCCTCAGCCAAAGCGGCTGCCGCTGCCAGTGCCAGTGACAGGCAGCTGACCTCCCAGCTGTCCTCTCAGCTCAGCTCACAGCAGTCTCTGGGGAAATCGTCCAGCCAGGGCTCTGCCACCCCTCGCGGGTTGGCTACTCCGCAGGGGTCGCAGGGAGGAGGAGCAGCAGGAGGAGGAGGAGGGTACGAGCCTCACCAGGCCCAGCTCGCTTACGGGTCTCCCATGGGGATCAGCCCCTCTCCTGCTGCTGCTGCCGGCTATGCATCACCTGTGGGATCGGCAGGCAAGGCGGGTGTTGGTCGTAGTGCTGGCGCTGGTGCGCCTGCTGCCGCTGGGGGTAAGCGGATGGGTAGGCTTGGTGCTGCTTCTGGTGCGGGGGATGGTGTGGGCAGTGGGGGGGAGAGTGATGGCAGTGCGAGGAGCGGGGGGAGCAGGGGGAACCCGGGGAAGGTGCTACCTGAGGGGAGGGGGTTTGGCAGCCCCGTCAGGGGGCGAATGGGAGGTGGAGTGGGCGGGGAAATGAGTGGGGGAATGGCAGGGGGGATGACAGGGGGGAAGGCAGGGGGGGTGGCTGGGGGGTGGCTGGGGGGTGGCTGGGGGAAGAAGAGGGAGTGTGGGCCCCACTCGATTGAGGCACTGTTCGGACGATGAGGGTGTGCTGGCAGGGGGGGGGGGCGGGCAGAGGGGGATGGGTATGAGGGTGAGGGGGGGGTTGGCGGGAGAGTGGGGTATGGGATGACCGGGGAGGGGGGGTGTATGGTGAAGGGGCACGGGGTGATCTAGGGGACGAGTACGAGGAGAATTATGATGGGTATGGTGTGGAGGATCAGCAGAATGAGTATTGGCGGCAGCAGCAGCACCAGCAGCAGAAGCAGCAGCAGCAGTTTCCGGCGCGTCAAACAGGCATTAGCAACAGCAATGGCGGCGGTTGGGATGGTGTAGGTGGATATGGGGCACAAGGGGACGGTGGGATTCATCGTGGGTATGGGAATGGGTTCAGGGATGGGTATGATAACGAGTTTGGGGATGGGTATGGTGGTACCCACATGCAAGCACAGCAGAGCCGCTATCCCACCGCCAGGCGTGACGATTCAGGTGCTAGTCGTGAGGCGCCTGAGACCTATTCAGGTGCAGGCAACAGCTTTGGGCCGTCGGATCCCTTTGACTCCCAGCCCTCCTCCGACCCCCAGCAGTCCTACTCCCAGTATTCTGACCTGCAAAACTCGTACTCGCAACCGTCTGACCCCGCAACCTCCTTCTCTCAGAACTCTAACCCCCAGCAACAGTACCCGCATGGGCCCCAGCAATCCTACTCCCAGCATCAACAGCAGCATCAGCATCAGCAACAGCAGCTGTCATATCCCGAGGCCCCCCAGCAGCCGTACCCGCCGTACGACGAGCAGCACAGCGTGCAAAGCCCATATTTCCACCCCTCCAATCTTCCCCAAGAGAACTTTGAGCCTGCCCGGTATGGGCCAGGCAACATGCCGGCCACAACGCCCCGGCGGGCAGCAAAAAAGTCCATCCAGTTCCAATCTGTGCCTGCAGACGGTTACGGGCAGCTGCATGAGGAGGAGGGGCAGCAGGAAGAAGTTTTCTGCCCCCCTATCACTCCTGGTCGCTCCACCGGGGGTGGTGGGGGTAGAGGAGTGAAAGGGAGTGGGCAGGGTGGGAGACTGAGTGAAGACGAAGGGAGGGGATCCTTCCAAGAGTGGAATCAGCAGCAGCAGCAGCAGCAGCAGTTTGTGTCGCCACCACCACCACCACAGCAGTTGCAGTATGCTCCTACCACTCCAGGACGAACGAAGAAAGCCATGGGGGGGAATCATCAGCCAATCACACCGCGACACGTGTCGTCAGCATCGCAAGCGCAAGTGGGAGGAAGGGGCGGGGTTGGTGGTGGTGAGGTGAGATTTGATCCTGTTACACCGAGATTTGATCCTGTTACACCGAGATTTGATCCTGTTACTCCTAGACGGAGCAAACACCAGAATCAGTCACACCCTCAAAACCCTTACCAGCAGCAGCAGCAGCAGCAATACCAACTCGAGCAGCAGCAGCAGTATGGCTTCCAGCAAGAGGAAGCACCAGCAGCAGAGCCGGTTACAAGGCGCAAGCAGCGCGTGGCCTTTGATGACCAGGTCGAGGAAGCTTATATCGAGGACGGGGACGTGCAGCCTCCTGCGAGGTCGCTTAGCATTAGGAGAGGAGAAAAGGCGAGAGGGGGGAGAGCAGGGGCGCAGGCACAGAGGTGGGGTGAGGAGAGGAGGGAAGACAATTGGCAGGAGGGAGGAGGGAGGGAGGAGAGGCGTGGGCGGATTCAAAGGCCGATGGAGGAGGGAGAGGAGGAGGGAGGGAGGGGGAAGAGGTATGGGGGTGATGGGGGTCGCACTCCCAGGAAGGGGGGAGAAGGGAGGGGAGGCGAAGGGAGAGAAGGAAGAGGGGAAGGGAGAGGGGAAGGGAGAGGAGAAGGAAGAGGAGGGGAGTGGAGGGGGGAAGAAAGGGAGGGGCGGAAGGGGGAGGGGGTTAGTAGCGGAGTGATGAAGCGGCAGCTGAGTCTGAAGCTGTCAGTTCCCACAACCCCAGGAGGGGGAGGAGGAGGAGAGGCAGGGGGGGCGTACCGAAGCGGGCCGAAGAGCGTGAGAGGGCGCAGTAAGAGCGGCGCTTGGGAGATGGATGAAGGGGAGAGGAGGAGAGGAGGGGGAGCAGCAGGAGGAGGGGGAGGGGGAGGAGGAAGAGCAGGAGCAGAGATAGTCCCGAAAACGCCCAAGACCCCAAGGGGGGGTGGTGGTGGTGGCGGTGGTAGTGGTGGAGGTAGCTATGGTGGTGGTGGGGATGGCTTTTCTCGCACGCGGACGTTTGAGAGAGGGGAGAGGTCGGCCGAAGGAGCAGGGAGGAAGAGTGCAGAGAGGGGGGGTTCCGGCCAGGGAAAGACCAGCAGCAAGGATATGAGGGAGAGAGGAGAGAGGGGGGAGAGGGGGGAGAGAGTGCAGGGCGCTGCATCGGGGGCAACGAGGAGGATAGAAGTGACTAAGAGTATGTCTAGTAAGGATATGGGGAAGAGCGGGGGAGGGGCGAAAGAGGTCAGCAAGAGCACAAGCTTTTCGCTGAAAGCAGCTCTGTTTGGGCGGGAGTCCAAGGAGGGGAGGGGAGGGAGGGAGAAGGAGGGGAAGGAGGGGAGAGAGGGGAGAGAAGGGAGGGATAGGGACAGAGAGAGGACGAGAGAGAGGGAGAGGGACAGGGACAGGGAGAGGGAGAGGGAGAGGGAGAGGGAGGGGAAGGAGGGGAAGGAGGGGGGATGGTCAAGAAGTCGAACGATGGACAACACGGAAGTGCGGATGCAGAGGCAGCTGAGCCACAAGAGGGGGGCGTATTGAGAAGATAGGGTCAGAAACTGTGGACGAGAGGTAGGAGGGAGAGCGTGGAGGGAGGGAGGGAGGGAGGGCAAAGGATTTGGGCAGTGGAGTGGAGGAGGTGGGGCCGAACGATGGACACCACAGAAGTGTGGATGCAGAGGCAGCTGAGCCACAAGAGGGGGGCGTATTGAGAGGGATGGACAGGAGAGCATGGGATGGGAGAGAGGGAGGGGGGAGAGAGGGAGGGGGGGGGAGGGAGGGGGGGGAGAGAGGGAGGGGGGGGGAGGGAGGGGGGAGAGAGGGAGGGGGGAGGGAGGGAGGGGAGAGGGGGGGAGGGGAGGGGGAGGGAGGGGGAGAGAGGGAGGGGAGAGGGAGGGAGGGGGGAGAGAGGGAGGGGCAGAGAGGGAGGGGGGAGAGAGGGAGGGGGCAGAGAGGGAGGGGGAGAGAGGGAGGGGGCAGAGAGGGAGGGGGGAGAGAGGGAGGGGGCAGAGAGGGAGGGGGAGAGAGGGAGGGGGCAGAGAGGGAGGGGGGAGAGAGGGAGGGGGCAGAGAGGGAGGGGGCAGAGAGGGAGGGGGCAGAGAGGGAGGGGGGAGAGAGGGAGGGGCAGAGAGGGAGGGGGGAGAGAGGGAGGGGGCAGAGAGGGAGGGGGCAGAGAGGGAGGGGGGAGAGAGGGAGGGGGCAGAGAGGGAGGGGGGAGAGAGGGAGGGGGGAGAGAGGGAGGGCAATGGTCTGGACAGTGGAGGAGTGGAGGGAGGGGAGCTGCTGCTGATGGAGGTGCTCAGTGCTCACACAAGTGACGATGCACAAGCAGCAGCTGCTGAGCTACAAGAGGGGGCGGCACTGAGGTGACTTTTGAGTCGACTCAAAAGTCACCAAGAGGGGGCCGCACTGAAATGGCCGTAGTGATGATGATGATGCTGACCTTGGAAAATGTTACCGCATGTAGGGGAGAAGGATCACCCTGTCCTGTACATTAGTGGCTCACCCAAATCTGTCTGTCCATGTCCACCCGTCACATCACAACTTATGAATGTACGGTACGGTACCTTGTTTGCGTTACGAGTCAACCACGAGTATACTTCATCAGTTTTCATGGGTCTTTCTGCTGAGAGCCTGAGAAGAGTGGGTTTGAGTCTACTGAGGCCACTTCCTGTTGAATTGCTGGTGGATTATGTGCCATTCAACGATTCCGCTCCGTAGGTGGGCTGGTCCTTAGAACCTACGGTAGTACAGGTACTATCTCTCTTGCCAGTTCTTTACTTCTTACCATACCAGCTTCAGATTTCAAGCTTCAGATCAAATGAAGCGTATTCTATAAAGGGTATGGTACAAATAAAAGAATCAGCCCACATGTCGTACACAATACAAACCTAGCCTAAACTGGTCTGCTGCCCATTCTTTATGGGTCGTATAAGGGACTGAGCTGCTTGGCGCGGCGGTAGGTGGTATGGGAGCAGTCAACAGCGAGGACAGAGCTCGCCTCGTACGACCTTGCATTCCCATCCAAGAACCCCTCGCCCTCAGCACCATCAGCGGAAATCGGACGGTGGAGCGACGCGATCATCTTCTGGAAATCAGCGGCTCTCGTCGCGTGATCCTCGCGGTACGTCTGCCCCAGCACACCGTGAATCTCGTCCGTGTGCGACAGCTCGACAATCCCGAGGTTGATATGCGCCTCGGCCTCCGTCGGGGTCTGCAGCTTCGGGTGAGCGACGCGCAGACGCATATCGAGCGTGACGAGGCCGTCAATATCGAGGATGTAATAATCCACGTCATAGGGACCTTCCTTCTCGAGCGCCTTGAACGTGAGCGAGAGTCCTCCCTCTGTGGTAACCACATCGCCGACGTTCATTCGCGGAATCGCCTCTCCGTCGATCTCGATGCTCTTCATGAATCCCGCCCCGCGCTCCTGCTGCTTGCCGTCGCGCGCCGCCACGCGAATCTTGTGATCTGCGCCATTAGCGAACCACACTATACCGAGCTCCTTAATCCAGGTGTGCACCGCCTTCCCGTCGACCACAAGCGCGGCGTTGTCGGTATTCTCGCTGTAATACCCGCGGAGGAGCATGTTCACATGGAGGTCGCGGTCGGTCAGCAGGCAGAAGGCCTTATCGGGACGGCCGTTGAAGTCGAAATGGGTTCCGTACGCGCCGACCAAATGCGGGTCGTTGGAAATCTCGCCCTTGGGATTGCACTCGCCGCCCGTGCGAACCTGCAAATGCACGGGTTTCGTCTCCGTCGCGAATTGCGCGACGAGATCGCCGCACGTGTAATCGATTTCGTCCTTCACCAGGTAACACGCGCCGTCGCTCTTCTTCCCGTCGATGGTAATATCGGGGATGTACTGCCAGTACGTGCATCCCTTTGTCGCGGCGCAGGTGTTACAGCAGGTTTGCGGGGAGGCCTTTTTCAGCGTGAGCGGGTTACCCTTCACGTACACTTCCACGCCGATCTTATTCTTCAGGAGATTCGACGTCTTCCATTTGGCGGGAATCCCGCCCTTGCTGCAGTTTTTCGGCGTGCACGCGCCGGCGCGCTCCTTAAGCTCCACGTGACACTTCATCGCGTTCCAGCCGGCCTTGGACGCGTCAGCGATGAGCATCGAGTCGGTCGCGGTGGAAACCACCGTGATACCCGCGGCGTTGCCCTCCTCGGCCTTTTTCACAATGGCGGCGCTCACGTCTGAGACTGCGCCCGTGTCGTCTTCTTTCTTCTCCTTTTCGACGTCTACGGGTTTGTTATCGGCGGCTCTGAAAGGATCAGCTGCGGTCGCCACCAGCACTAGCGCGGCCAGGCAGAGGGCCAGAAACGCGTGCCTAGCCATGGTTGTATTTGCCAGCAGCTGAAAAATCGAGGGAGTACGAACAGCGCTCAGAGAACTTCGTCAGTCAATACAGCCGCTGGAAGGAAGAGAAAGAGATGTAGTACGTAACTTCGCGTTTTGGTTGTACTAAGCGATCATAATCTGTCCTTTTATGGTGGCAGGATATGAGGGTGAAGAGGCGTTGAGGGAAGAGGCGTGAACTGGTTTGGGCTGGTTGGAAATTGGAAGCGGCGCGTGCTGCTGAAGCGCATGTACCAACACATGGGATGGATTGGATGGCTGGGGAAAATTTTCCCGCTGGGGGCACTGCACTGCAGACATGCTGGTGGAGGTGGAACCTGGAAATAGAAATCGAGTCGCATGTTTGTGAAGTCAGAAACAGTGTTTTGAACATGGCCAGTTTCAGGGCAAAGTTCAGGTGGTACCTGGGCCTAGCCATACTCCGTCCAGCTGGCTTTGATCGCGGTATACGCCGTATGTTACACCTCTTGGGGGTTTCAAGAACCAGAATCTACCACGCGCTGCGCTCCAGTTGCGCGAAAGGTCAAAACGTGGGGCAAAAGCGACAATATCGAGGAAAACAGTTCTGAACTGTAACTAAGGACTGTTTGAAAATCTGGACCACAGAACCTGTGGCGAGTCTGCGCGGGTCTTATCTCATGTCTCTCTGAAGGCTTTTCAACAACCTCTTGCGAAGTGAAACATAGCTAACTGTGTACACAAGTCGAAACAGGCTACCAAACACTTGGTCCACATGCAAAAAATGGGTCGTCTCTCTGATTGGTAAATCGCTAAATTCTCAAAATCATACAGATTCTCTCACGTCGCGCTTCGTTTGTCCTCCTAAGCAGGACCACTTTTGCAGAGAATGTTAATTTCTATTGTATTTCCGTGAAACTCAGTGTGCTCCTGAAACACTCGCCATTCAAAGCAGGAAGAGGTGTACAGATATTCATAAGAAGGTGCAGGCACAATACAAACCACGTAAACATTTGTGAACATAGGCGGGTCACATTTAGAGAAGACGTCACAAAATCATGATGGCACCGAAGACAAAGAGTGAAACACATTGGTCCAACGCTTCATTGGACCTGAGCGACGACGCTGCGATGCGGCGAATCCTGGACGACGATGACGACGAGGACAAGAAGGACAAGGAGGATAAGAAGGACAAGAATCTCCACTTATACATATGGTTATATGTAGAAGTTATAGGCTAGATAGACTTGTGTTCTTAGAGAATACAACTCCAACCCTATATCTTCCCTGTACTCTCTTGTTCTAGTCATTCATGTATTCTAACTTGGTATCATGAGTAGGTTAGGTCCGCCCACCCACTTCCGCCCCTAGCCCTGGCCTATCGCCGGCCCCTAGCGTACCACTGGCCCCTAGCGTGCCCAACGGCCCCTAGTGTACCGCCGGCCCCCTAGCGCACCTCGCCGGCCCCTAACGCGCCCACCGTCCCTTCCGCGCCGTGTCGGCCCCTTAGCGCCCCGCCGGCCCCTCACGTCGAACCGGCCCCTAGCGTGCCGTGACGGCCCCTCGCGCCGTGACGGCCTCACGCGCCTAGCTGGCCCCTCGCGTCGAGCTGCCCCCCTCGCACCTCGCCGCCCCCCCCCCCCCCCCCACCTCCCCCCCCCCCCCCCCCCTTTCGCCTAGCCTGCCCCTCGCACCTAGCCGGCCCCTCGCACCTAGCCGGCCCCTCTCGCCTAGCCGGCCCCTCGCACCTAGCCGGCCCCTTGCACCTAGCCGGCCCCTCTCGCCTAGCCGGCCCCTCACGCCTAGCCGGCCCCTCTCGTGCACCGCCGGCCCCTTGCGCCTAGTCGGCCCCTCGCGTGCTGGCCCGGCCCCTCACGCACCCGCCCGGCCCACTCCGTGCCTCGCCGACCCTTCGTGCTCGCCAGCCCCTCACGCGCCCGCCGGCCCTTCGTGTGCTCGCCGGCCCCTTCGTGCGCGCCGGCCCCTCACACGCCTGCTCGCCCATCACGTGCCTCGGGCCCCTCCTCGGCCTTCCGCCCGGTTTTCTCGCCGGGGAGTCCTGCCGCTGTGTCGCCGTGCCGCTGTGCCACTGTGTCGCTGTGCCGCCGTGACGTTGTGCTGTGGAGGTTGCACGATGCCAGACGATGTGCTTCGCCTGGACGCGGAGGGACACGCGATCGACTTCGCCGCCTGTCTTGTCGATCTCCGCCGTCACCTGACAGGTCAGCGCCAGGATGGGCACTCCCTGGCTATGCATGTTGATGGCTTGCTTCCCCGCCCCTTCACTCCTGATCCCCTCCCTGCTAACCCAACCACTGCTGAGAGTGAGGCCTTCGCTGCTGCTGCGCTCGCTCGCGCTGTTTGGGACTCTCGCGATGCTGTAGCGCAACTTGCCATCAGTTATGCGCTTCCCCTATCTTAGCGTCCGCGATTCACTGCTGTCGCGAACACCAAACACTTTCTAGATTCCGTAGTTGCGCGCTACTCTACACCTACCTCTGCCTCCGCTGACCGCTTGATCCTCCCCATGCTATTCCCCGATCTTTTTGCTTTCCCCACTGTCGCTGACCTCACTACTCACCTCCGTGCACTAGAGACTAGCTACCGCACTGCTAGCACTACTGCCTAGCTCAGTGCCTTCCCTCTGCCATTCTGCGCTACCCTGTACCTTAGCAGCACCCGAGTGACCTCACTCTGACCGCCTTTGTTACTGCCCTTTCTGATATAGAGAATCGCCAGCTCACTTTTGCTCAGTCGAGCGGTGTTGCGATAGTCCCTAACTTTCAGGGCTGTGCTCCCTCCCAGTGCACGTACGCGGACGTTTCCGCCGCCGTCGCTACAGCTGCTCCTGTCACTGAGACCGCAACGGCGGCCTTCCCGCAGCAGCAGTGACAGCGTCGGGGCCACCGCGGTCCCAAGGGAGGGCGTGGTGGTGGTGCTGGTGGTGGAGGTGGTGGTGGCGGAGATAGTGGTTCTGACGAGGAGGCCATGGCAAGTGTCAAGGAGTAGCAGCAGTCGCAGCAGCAGCAGCAGCAGTCGTGGGCCCGCCTCCCGCCGGGGTGGCCAGGAGCCCCTGGAGGTGGTGTCCGCGGTGATGGTCCTTGCAGCTCGGCTTCTACCAGCGACTTCGGTGCTGTGGGCTACCAGTACCAGCTCCAGACCGGGCCCCTCCGTGGCATTGTGTACCGCAGCCCGCACCCGACCGCCCGCTGCTTTCGCCGCCTCGACGACCTCTTCTGTCGCCGCTTCGGCACAGCCCTTGATTTCCCTGACTGGCCCAATCGGCTGCGCCATGGTGTGCCTGTTTTTGACTAAGACATGGACTAGATTAGTTCCACCTTGCATTCTCTGTATGCTAACGCTTCTAGTGTGTCCGAAACTTATAACCCTATGTTCTCTAGCCTAGACGAAGCACATGTGTGTAGTACAGACACCCCTGCTGCGTCAGGCATAGGACAGTTTGCTTTGTCTAGCCTAGGCTCTACCCTTGCTCCTCCTTCGTCCGCCGCTACCGCTTTGCTGTCCTTCACACTTGACTCTGGTGCGTCTGCCTGCTTCTTCCGCGACCACGCTGCGCTTACACCGCTTGCCGCACCTGCTGTTGTCGCACTTCCTGACTCCTCCTCTGGTCCTGCAGTTGCTCGCATTTACACAGGCCTATACATCCCCTCGTTCTCCTGGAACTTTGTTGGTGTCGGCAGTCTTCAGGACCTCGGCGCCATCACTACGTTTCCACGTCACGAGCGGTACGCCGTCTGTACCGAGGCCGCCTCAGGTTCTCCCCTTGCGACGTTCCCCCGGGACCCGGTGTCTGGCCCCTTTACGCTGGACACTGCTTCACTCCCGGTTGGACCGTCCTCCCCGGGTCCTGCGTCTACCCAGGTTGCCGCTGCGTGCTCGTGTCGGTCGCTCACTCACCCGTCGCTTCTGAGGCACAACCCCCTAGGTCATCCAGCACTCCCGCGTCTGTGTCACATGTCCTAGCACAGTCTCATCCTAGGTCTCCCTGCGTCGCTTCCTGCCCTCCCTACCTCGTCTGCCCTGCCATGCACACCCTGCATCAAGAGCCGGTTGCGCTGTGCTTCTCACGCCTCCTCGCTTCATCCTGCCACTGCATCCCTCCAGACCCTGCACCTGGATGTCTGGGGCCTAGCCCCCGGCCCTGGACCGCGTCGCGAGCGCTACTTTCTAGTGCTCGTTGACGACTACACGCGCTACACCACGGTGTTTCTCTTGGAGCGGAAGGCTGACGGGCCTGACATTCTTATCCCATGGGTCGTAGCTGCGCACCTCCACCGCGATCTCCCTGTGCAGTATCTCCACTCCGACCGTGGCGGGGAGTTCGCCTCTGGTCGGCTTGGACAGTTCTGTCTTGCGGAGGGCATTACCCAGTCGTACACCCTACTGGACTCCCAGCAGCAAAATGGGGTCGCTGAGCGACGCATCGGTTTGGTCATGGAGGTGGCTCGTACCTCCATGATTCATGCCGGTGCACCCCATTTTCTGTGGCCATTAGTTGTTCGCTACGTCGCTCACCAGCTTAACCTCTGGTCGCACTCCCAGCGGTCGCAGGTTTCGCCGACCCTTCTTTGGAGTGGGTTTCCTCGTAACGTGTCTGCGTTCCATGTCAGGGCCTGCCTCGCTCACGTTCGTGTCTCTGACACGGACAAGCTCACTGCCCGCACTGTCCCTTGTGTCTTACTCGGTTTCCCCTTAGACTCGTCTGACCGGTACTTTTACCACCCACCATCACACCGCTTCTTTCACTCCCGTGATGCCACTTTCAACAAGTATGTCTCCTTTTACCACCGCTTTCCACACCAAGGTCTCCCGGTTTCCCCTCCCCTATTTCTGGTCCGCACTCCCCCGGTATCCCCTACTCACCTTCCTCCACGTCCTTCTACGTCTGATGTGTCTCGCGCCACTCCCCCCCCGTCGGTTGTCCCGGTCGAGGAGTCGGCTGACTCTGGTGGCCATCCGGCGCAGTTCTTGCCGCCTGTCTCTCCCCAAGTGTCTCCTCCTCCGTCGTCGCAGTCGTCGCCGCCGTCGCAGCAGCAGCAGCCGTTCGTGGACTCTGGGGGTGCTGGTATTGAGGAGGGTGCTAGTCCTGGGGTTCCTGTCGTGGCTTGTCCTTGCAGGCTCG